TTTTTTTTCAACTTAATTTGCTTATTTTCAATTTTGATTCTTGTTAATTTTATGTATGGACTTCTCTTGATGTTTGAGTATCTCAATTATCTCATCCACCTTTTCTTCTATCCTATAAATCTTTTCATTGACAGAATTATCTTTCAATACTTTAGACAAGTATTCGGGAATATCCTGACACAGATCATGTATGTTCGTCAATAGTAAATGGTATTCAGATGATTCAGCTCTTCCTATAGCACCACTCGAATAACCATCCTTTGCTGATATAACATAAATTCCGATTGTTGTTTGCTTATCGAATCTTAATACAACACTTTCAAAATCTCGGATATAATCAACTTCAACTTTGTTAGTAAAATCTTTGCATTGAAACAATAATAAGTAATGACTATGATTGCTGAACATATCCATGCCACTATCATCTTTTGATAATCTATAAAAAAAAACTGTAAGTAATTGTCATCATCATCAAGGAACATGTACTGGAACCAATACAGTTATTTATCCATGCATCTTATTCACCATTCAGATAACAGATAAAACAGAGAAGAACATTCACAAGCAATTATTACTTGGCTCTTGTAACATCTCCTGTGGCCACGATGCGCTTCCAGTTTTCTGCCTATCATATCATCCTAGTGGTTAGATGCATAATGACTAAACAATCATTTAGTGATATAATTATCTCATCTCACCCTTTGGCAGTCAATCTTTATTTTTTAACCAATTTAAAAACTTTAAATTTGAATACGTCTCCTTTAGAAAAAGAAGTAATAGAAGAATTATTAGTATATTTCATTGTTGGTAAGAAAATTTCAAAATAGTCAAAATTTTTTTTGAATTTTGCACCCGATATATCTTATTCATCCCGAAATTAGTCTTCTATCACATAAAAAGAAAATAAACATGCACTTTCATTATTAAAAATTCAAAAAAAACTCATGTAGATCTACAAATAGGGTGAGAAGTTTGGTATGTAGATTATTTTATCATATGATTTTAGTAGTACAACATAATTTATATAGAAAATAAAAATATTCTACTAATAAAACTTTTTACTGTTGTAATTAATTTTTATCAAAATTCTACAGTATATAGACTAAAATACATTCTTTATAGTAATAAAAGTTTTAATAGATAAAGATTTAAAAAAATATATACTTGTATATATTGTAATGTTTGCCGGAGTTGGTG